AATTATAAATTCTTTTGAATAAAATAAATAGAACAAATTTTTTTGGAGGTGCAAGAAAAGAGTCTAGGCTGACTACTTCTTTAATCAATGATGAAAATAACAAATTTAATTTGTTAAATCACCAATATGTAAGACAAAATACTCTTTATGAAATTAAGATCAAGGTAATTAAAATAAATAATAACAAAGTACCAAATTATTGTCATAATTATATAACACTATCATTTATATTAGTAATTTGACTTTAGCACATTAAGAAACTTTTTGTTTTCTCTACCCAAACATTAGTCACTCTATTTGAAACATTGCTTAATAAACATTGGAGTTATGAAAACTTTCAGTGTTGAAATAATAACTGACATATGTGAAACATCAAAATCTAACAACTGTGACAGTGACAATGAAAACAGCAATAACAACATTCATTTTTTAATATTATCAACGATTGATGTTTATGGAAAAAAAGAAGTATGATGCAATCTCTTATTTATTTATTATTTTAAAATGATGTTATCTTTTATATTTCTCTTTATCTAAGATTATTCTATCCTAGTGCAAAATTCCAATTTCAATTCCTCTAAATCATCAGCAACAACCACCATTTAGGTAATTCATATATATATATTTCATAACTTTTTAAATTTTATAATGATAATAAAGTTTATTATTAATATTAAAAATTATAAAAATCTGTGTCCAAAACAAATTTTATCAATGATATCAAAAGAAATAAATTTAGAAATAATTATTAAAGAAAATGTAATGATGTTGATCAAGGTTAGTCAAAATTTATTACATTTAAAATAAATAGATATAATAATAATAGTAAATACAAAAAGAGTGACTAACATTTGGGTGGAGAAAAAAAAAGTTTCTTAATGTGCTAAAGTCAAATTACTAATATAAATGATAGTGTTATATAATTATGATAATAATTTGGTGCTTTATTATTTATTTTAATTACCTTGGTCTTAAGTTCGTAAAGAGTATTTGACTTGCATATTGGTCATTTAACAATTTAAGTTCGTTATCTTCTTCGATTCTATTTATTTTATTCAAAAGAATTTATAATTAATCAATTATCAATAATTCCTTCCTCCACCTTTTCAATTTATTTAAATAACTAGAGTGACAACGAGTGGCGGGCAATAACCACCACCACCACTCTTATGATAAACACTTACTCATGATCCTCGGAAATAGCCATTGATCGTCTTCTCCTGCTGACATTTTTTACAAAAAAAAAAGAAGTTTGTGATTTGATTGACGTGTACACACTAGTTATTTATCCTATTAGTTTTTTTGGGGGAGGACGAATTATTTTTTTTTTTGGAAAATCGATTTATTTTTTGACAGGGTCCAAGGTGACAAAACTTGAGTGTTGTTTTTTGGTTTGGTTTGGATCTCCTAAAGAAAACGTGTTAATAAATAACTAACCAGAGGTACTTTTTTTTATCTGTATTGATATTTTTATTCTAGTTAATAAATATTTTAATTGGAATCAAAACGCGGAGCAGATCTTGCTGGGTAATTATAAGATTCTTATCAAGATGATAATAAATGATTGGTATTTTGTTTTGTGTAATCGTAATAATAATATTATTATTAATATATAATTACAAGAAGATGTCAAGGCAGCACACCATTGAAAAAGAAACAATTTAAATATGAGACGTTTTGATTATCGGAAATTAGCAGATGTTGAAGCACGCACGTTACCTTGAACACTTTACGGTCATTCTCACATATTCCTCGTGGACACAAGGCTAATCTGACTTCATCCCCTGATGATACAATGATGATGTTGAATTCCAAGGAGGGGTAGTATGGCCCTGGAGTTTACCGAAGCTTGCATCAATCGTCAATGACACTTTTCACTAATCCTCCCTCACAGCGAAGGCTTGCTGGCATGCTGGCTGAAAAGTTGCCTGCAACGATCCTACCTATAGGGTAAGGATGGCTCTGTGACCGAGCTATCGCAATTCTGTTGATGAATTGTAGTGCCATGTAAGCATCCAGATCCATAAAAGCAACAAGGATCCACAACTCGTTTCAAGCACATGAGGTTGCGATTCAGTGCAGGGTTGGTGGTCCTGAAATTACATTTGGGCTCTGATATTAGGAGGAAGGTTGTAAAATAAAATGGTTTAGATGGTATGTTATATATAAATTAACTACTATTATTATTGTTATTATTATTATTATTATTATTATTATTATTATTATTATTATTATTATTATTATTATTAATCAACTAGTCGCATGACATTTTCCTCAGGTTGTAAATGGACGATCTGAATCATGTAAAATTTTAAAATTTTGTTTGACGCGTTCAATCGTCCAATCGCAAGTATAACTAGAAATAAATGCAAATAATTATATTGTTATGAATATTTATAATATTTATATAGTATAAAGTTTTTCTTTTACATTTTATTCTACATAAATAATAACGATTAAAATAATTAGATAATATGAGCAAGCAACAATAACATACAAATTGTCAAAAAAAGAAGAGAAATGTAAAGAGATATTTAATATTATTATTGGGTCAACGAATTGTGATTTAAAATCAATATTAAATAACATTACTAAATATTAACTATAAATAAGTTTGAATATTATGTGCAATAGAATTTAAGCTTTCTTTTGAATCTAGGATCACTCAATTTGATCAAGTGCTTACCCAAGATACAGAACTATTGCGGTTTTTTTGAATTTTAAATACTTATGACATTTTCAAATAATCAAACTTGTCTATCATACAACTAGATAAAGCATTCGTCAAGTATATTTTACAAAACTTACTTTCCAAGCTTTATAGATCTCATATAGTGTTGGTTAATTAGTTTTAGAGAGATATAAAAAAAAATTAGTTTTATGAACCCAAGTAATGGTAACATGTTTTTTTTTTAATTGATACATTAATAACTAACCAAAAGATTAACAATTGAGAAAAATCACAAGATAAACGCACCTAAATTTAGTAAGATAATTACTATTAATATTTTTCTTTTCAAGGCAGATGGTCATATTTTCCGGGGTAGAATTTAGGTTTAACTTCATTACTATTAGTAATAGTAATGAAAATTATGCAAATTTATTAATGAATAGGTCTTTCAATAGGAAAGAACATAATGACAAGATTACCCCATATGTGCAAATTTTCATGAAGAACATTTTTAACTTAGAAACTGTACCTACTTTTGTTTAATAAATCTTGTGACATTTTTTTCTTGATGGTTGCATATTGATTAAACAGCCAGTGAAAGATTTTTAACCATGCCAAAAAAACATGGAAATGATACTCAACCCTCTTTCTCAATCAAAGATTTCTCTGGTCATTTAAGTGATCATTCTCCATTGTTGTCTGTAGAAGCAAGAGAGTGAATTAAAAAAAGATGACATGCAAATAACTGTTGTGTTGAAGTGAGATAAAAAAATCAATTGTTTTGAAACTGTGTGAGGTCAAAAAGTTCACAATTATTATAATAAAATAAAATCAATTTGCATTCATTATAAATTTAAAAATAAGATAAAAGAAATTGGATATACATATACTCAGTTAATACTAGCCAGAATGCTGGTTGAGTTTTAAATATCTGAATGATGTCCAATTAGATAAAATTCAATCAGGTATTCACAATAGCATATCAATTGAAAATAAAATAAAGAATCAAATTTATTACCAAATGAGAATATATAGTAAACCAAAAGGTATCTGGTTAGACTTTGAAATTGCTGTCAAAAATAATCCCAATGCCATAAATCAGCATGTCACAACAATCTATCTATTGTATAAATAGGTCAAAATTGGATGGCCGATTCTAATCTCTGATTTAACATCATTCTACTAGTGTTAACTTTAATTAATTAATTAATATTATCGTCACTATTATTATATTATGTATTTATTTATATTTTTTCTAAAAATGTAAAAATTATTATATACATAAAACAAAAAAAAATTTATATACTGTATATATAAATAAAATAAATAAAAAATTATAATTATTATAAAAAATCTTTAGTTACTACTATTGCTGCTGCTGTTGTTGCCATCTTTATTGCTCAGTATCCATTGGCAATGGATCACCAACATTTAAAGCATCTTTAATTGGTTTTGATTGCTAAATTCCAGATAAATAATATTTGAGAAGAGTTAATAAATATGTGAATAATAATTTATAATTAATTTATTTAAATTATAAATTTAACAAAAAAGACAAACCATTTTAATAAAACTTACTTGTAAGAAATTATTAAATTCTTTATTTACTTCCTCAATTTTTTTCTTTTTAGCATCAATTTTTTCTTCTAATTCTTGCTTTCTTTTTAATTTTAATGAAACTTCTTCTTGCAATCTTTCTCATGAAAAAAAAAGTTTTTTTAAAAAATTGCTTTATATAATTTATTATTATTATTATTATTATTATTATCAATATTATTATTATTACCTAATTCTTTCTTCTTTTTCAAATGATAATCTTTGCAACATTAATTCATGCTTAATCTGTTTTTCATTAATCTCACCCTCTGGTTGTGAGAAATTTATTGTTTCTGGATGAGTTGCTTTAAATTCATCTTCCAATATAAGTGGTATTTTTTGATATATCGATCTATGCACATACACATTCATCCATAGCAATAAATAATGAATGATTGAATGAATGATTGGTCAAAAAAGAAGAAGGGACCAACCTGAACGATCTGCATTTACGAATTTCTCTTTGTAAATATGTTTTCATATAATTAAGATCTTGTAATTGTAAATGAATCCTATCCATTTCTAATTTTGCTTCTTGAGTTGCCAATTTATTTGAATTTTTTTCTAAATTTGATTTACGATTTAATTGTCGCAATTGCATAAACGAATAATCAAGTTGAAGTTTAGTTGAATCTATTTCGGCAGGATCTGTTGTAGTTGTTGTAGGCTTTTATTATTTTTCCCCACAAATAAAATAATCAAAAATTAGTCATAATAACAATAATAAATATCTAATAATATTTTCGAAATATACATTTACACCATCATCAGGCAAATCTCTTTCAGCTTTTTGTAAAAGATCAAAAGTCAAATTTTTTATAGCTTTACATTTTTCAACAAGTTCAACTAAATGTGGCAAATCTGGTTTAAGAATATCAATTTTTAATTTATTATTTTCTGAATCTTCTTGATTAACCATTTTTTTTTTTTAAAGAAAAAAAAATTTTATGTGGAAGATCTGCAATTTAAAATAATCACGAGAAAGCAAATTTTTTCAGGTATCAACAACACGTTTTTTAAGCTCGTTAAGAAATAAGTCGAATGCTCTAGATTATCATCTTTACTTTTTGAGCCAAGAACTCTTCTTCTTTCTGTATTATATTTTTTTAATTTCATTGCCAAGCAAACCAATGAATAGGTTCATCAAATATATATACACACTACCCGGAAAAAAGTATTTGGACACCTATTTACATTAATTACCCAA